TGGCCCTTTGGTGATGTGCTGTGTAAAATAGTAATCTCTATTGACTATTATAACATGTTTACCAGCATATTCACGCTGACCATGATGAGTGTTGATCGATACATTGCCGTGTGTCACCCTGTGAAGGCTCTGGACTTCCGTACACCTCTCAAAGCAAAGATAATCAACATCTGTATCTGGCTCTTGTCCTCATCTGTTGGTATATCTGCAATAGTTCTTGGAGGTACCAAAGTCAGAGAAGGTGAGTGTGAGCATTCGGAATTCAGTCTTTTTTTTCTCAGCTGACATAAAATATAGGTTCAAATACTTAAATTAATAAATAATAAATAATAAATAAATACTTAAATTAAACCTGGCTGATTCATTCTTCAAAAAGTATATATAATTTCCTGACATTTTGAAATATATTGTGGAACTTTACACTATGACATATAAATAATTTAAGCTCAGATGCCCTGGCCAACTAAAGAACAAAATGTCTGTTCTAGAATGAGACCATCAAGAACTACTACTAGACAGCAGGGGAAAATAATCAGGAATTTATTCACAGTTGACAAATCTAAAATCAGTTAAGTTGAAACCTGAAATGTGGGCTTAAGGTATTTTTTGTAGGTGTGAGAGCAGTTCTGATGAATTTTTAAGAGCAGAAACAAGAATTTTTGGGAGCTTATTATCACCAGCCATTTCACAGAATTTGAAGGCATGGTGAAGAAAGGAAAAGTCAGTAGCTGGAGAGAGAAAATCAAACTGAATTATATATGACAATATCTCAAATTCTTATTTAAGGAAGGATGGGAGTATACCTGGGGATGTGGAAAAGCTGAGAATTAGGATCAGTAGAGGAATTGGAAATTCAGACCATGGTAGGGAAGCAGCTACAAGAACATGGAGTCAATGAGATATGTATGCAGACCGTGTGTAGACTTTGCTTGAAATTTATAATCCATGAAGGACTGTGGATTTAGCCTCTATAGCTAATGACTCATTACAAAGCTGACTTGCTATGGGGTTAATTTGATTTTGAAATCCTCCTTGAGAAGGAAAGGGTAGAAGCATTTTCACACACATATACTTCATTCCCACCGGCATGACCACAGTGCAGTAGTACCTCAGTGTTTGCGAAAGGCTAGAGACTCCTAATGATGTCCTTGGGTTGGGATCATCCTGTTAATGGATGGCTTGATAAAACACAAGGCATGCATATTTATTTGGCTTGTTTGAGATGTAAACAATCTTTTGAAAAATTATTAATAATTTCCAAAATTAACAACATTTGCTATTTAGAAATGTTTCGCTCCTATCAAGCCAAATGGTAAAGTTTGTGTTAGGACACTGTTTTATCTGGCAGAGACAATAATGTTAAGCTGTTTGACATAGATCAAAGCAAAAAGGCATTTTGGTAACAGCTGCTCGAGGGCTGATAGATTTGGCTGAAGATATATAGATTTTGTTCTTGTTGTTGGTCTTCTGGTATGTAAGTGACAGGAGAGTCCTCAGGAAACTCTTCTTTCAGTCCTTTGAGGGATCAAGTGTCCTCGTCTGCAGTAATGTAATTCTTCTCCCTAGTAAAGTTTTGACAGGCTCTATAAAACAGTGTCTAGCTCAGGAAACATTAACTTCCAGACATATTTGGGAAGAATGATCGTCTTGCTGCACACGAGATCTCGAAGGCCATGGGACACTGACTCAGACAGGTGTTTTGTTGGAGCACACCTAACTAATAGAATGTTCCTGTCATTCACTGTCAACATCACATTTAGATCAAGGTGTGCTCTGAGGCCTGCAATGATTAAATGCCTTTTCCATGCCACGTGGCAGACAGCCCTTTTTTTTACTTATGAAACAGAGACTGGTAATACAGAGCTTAGCTGGGCTAAATGAGGTTGGAAATATTGGCAAATGCTTGTCAGCCACTACTGTTCATCCCTGCTTGTCTGATCTAAGGTCTCTCTTGAGCATTCAGTGTCAATTACCTTGTCTGGTGTGTTCATGAATTGCTCTGACAAATGTTGAAGGGATCCTCCCTTTGTCTGACAGCTGGAGCTTAGGATTCTATGTTATGTTGGCCAAAACAGTTGTGTTTATATGCTTCAGGGCCTCTTCTGGGTTCAGATTTAAGCAACAACTGAACATCAAATGTAAAGTGATTAAAGTTCCCCCACCGTGCTCAGTTAGTCCATTTTGTATCACAGTACGGAATTGCTCCCAGTTGTATCCTTTCAGATACATTTTTCCTGCAGAATAAATTTTACACATGTGTAAATTTTCTTTCCCTGTCCTTAATTTGTCCTTTCTGACAAATTGTTTAGATACAAAAAAAAAAGAAAAAAAAAAAAGGAAAAAAAAAGATATAAAATTAGAGGTACTTTTAGTATTTCCAGTAAGGGTATGAAGCTCTGTTTCAGTACAGAGGAGTACGGATGCCTGAAAGTGACACACTCAATGATATATCCAATACATATATTTCCTATGTTAAGATTAAGATTAATCTTAAATGGTAGCTTACTAAACACATTAAAACATATATTTACACTAAAATACCATCTAGAATGCAGTATTTTTCCTTATATATCAATGTATTTGAAATATTGGGCTTTCAGAGTTGAAAAAGTCAGTATGAAATCTTCTTACTATGTGACACTATCTGTAGTTTTGCACTTTTCAGGCAGTAAAAATAAAATATAAATTTGATTTTATTCTATTCCAATGTTCCAGAAAACTATCACGATATTGTGACAATAATGACAAGAATGTGTATTGCACTTGATATATGTAATGCTATGAATTACACGGAACCCATGACCTTATAATTTTGATAAATATATGAAATTATGTCAGAAGATCTATAAGAGGTCATTTCTCCTGGGAGTGGGTTTCAGTGAGTAGCTGGATGTGGTGCCCAGAGCAGTCACCCATGATCACGCTTGTTTTTATCAGGACCTGCACATCTGGATGCAGCTTTACTAGATAATATAGCTGCAACCTTATATTATTGCTGCAGCTAAGCTGTGATCTGCTACAAATAACAGTAATAATCAATGTGAAAACTTCTTTCAAGATGATTATTGACATTTCTAGAATAAAATTAAGTAAAAGCAACTACACTTATGAAAACCTAGATCACAAAGGATTTAAACAAATTGACTCAGTGTCAAGACCCTGTTAAGTCATACTTGTGTTGTCATCTTAGCATCCTGTATCAAGCTTGAAAAATATCTTTTCAGTTTTCATCTTTCAGAATCAACCATTAGTTATATTATTTAAAATAAAACCTCAAAATATTTAGCTTTTAGCTGTAAACTATTTCTATTTGAATATTTTAGTACTTAATATCACCCGGTAACAGTTTTCTGATATGTAATCAGGGAAATGTCTGTATGACACTACAATGATAATTTCTTCCCCTAGTTGTTTTTCAAAACAAATTCTCTGCAATATTGTTTTGATTTGTGAAACATTTCTATAGCAGGGAAATATGGCTTGATGGGTTTTTTTCTGACTAGTCCTGCTAGTGAAATTCCTGCTATCTGCTTGAGACAGATATAAAAAAAGTGGTGTGCAAGAGTATATTGAATCATTCCACCCTTAGATTTTATTCAGTAAAAGTCAATACGTAATGATTTATAGAGGAATAACAAATTCAATAGGGAAAATGATAAAAAAAATCTAAAAAACAATGCAGTGCTTTAGAGGGTAAAATCTAAGCTACAATTCAGAGTGAAAAATCCCTGTGTTACCTTGACTTGTCTTCAGTAGAGTTTAACTACTGAGAGTAGTTGTAAATTTACCCCTTCTCCTGCTTTTTCATTTATCTTATTGCTTGGTTTCCCTTATGTTTTATATGCTGGAAGGCTCCAATGAGGTCAGCAAGTGAAACCTCAAATATTGCATTGCTTAGATGCGGCCTGTCAGATGAAATATTTCTGTAACACAAAATCAAGTGACAGCCTGTGACTTTGAATTCTGGCATGGACAATCAGAACGAGAGTGGGCTCGTCTCAGTGGCCCAGATCTTGCAGTCTCTGCACACATTGCATTTTCAATGGCACGATCTGTAAAAAGAGTAGCTTCCTTTTGACTTCATGTGTGCACATATTTTATTTGCTCCTATTTGGCAGAAAAGAAGCTGTTGCCAGGAAATAAGTTTTTCTGAATGCAAACACATGTATTCTATTTGCGCTGAAGAAGGCACATGGGAAAAGATTATTACACAATTATCATATATTGGCAAAATCTTCTTACAATCAAAACCTCCTTCAGCTTCCACCGTTCATGATATCAAAAATCTGTCTTCACTTACTGAAAAAAACATACGTAGTCTGATAATAATGGTGAGATTTCTACTCCACTGAACATGGTACTCATTCTGGCTTTAAATCTCAGTGAGATTCAAATGAAAACATCTTTACAAATTTTTGTTTTTGTGATCTGCTTTTTTAGATCCTCCCATGGGAAACAAATTTTATACAATGTTATGAATTTTAAAAAGCCCCAAACTCTCTCAGTAATTTCTAGAGACGGCTGCATAAAACCAGTTTCAATGGTAACTGAAAGCTTTCCTTAGAGTGATTTAAAGATAACTGCATTTATTAATATCACATTACATGATAATAACTTCCTAGCTTATGCTATGACAATTACACTGTTTAGAATATCTAATAATAATGTAATTTTCTTCTTGCTTTCTTCATCCCAGATACTGCTAGCACAGAATGCTCCTTGCAATTTCCAGACAAAGATTACGTGTGGTGGGACCTCTTCATGAAAATCTGTGTCTTTGTCTTTGCATTTGTTATTCCAGTTCTCATTATAATTGTTTGCTATACTCTGATGATTCTGCGTCTTAAAAGCGTACGACTCCTCTCGGGGTCTCGAGAAAAAGATCGAAACCTGCGTCGCATCACCAGGTTGGTTCTTGTGGTTGTGGCAGTTTTTATTATCTGTTGGACTCCTATTCACATTTTCGTACTGGTTGAAGCACTAGGGGATGTGTCCCATAGTACTGCTGCTATATCCAGCTATTACTTCTGTATTGCTTTGGGTTACACCAACAGCAGCCTCAATCCAATCCTTTACGCATTTTTGGATGAAAACTTCAAGAGATGTTTCAAGGACTTCTGCTTCCCCCTTAAGATGAAGATGGACAGGCAGAACACCAGCAGAGTTAGAAACACTGTGCAGGACCCAGCTTATATGAGGGAAGCATGTGGGACAAACAAACCCGTATGACTAGTCGTGGAAATGTCATCTTACTGTCCTCAAGAGAGAGAGGAGTCCAATGACCTAGGACTGACGCAGATTACCACTGCAGTTTGAATTCAACTCATCCAGACATACATTTCTGGAATATTTCAGAAATCCTGCTAGTTTGAACTAAAGAAAGTTTATTATTGACAAATAAGAAACTCGTGAAAATAAGCTCAAGTGAAAAGGGCCTGGCTGATGGGCTGATGGTCAGGTTTTGGCAACATGTTTGCTGTACTTGAGCCAGTACTAAAACACACTTCTATGGAGAGAAGAGATAGTGTACCAGCTGATTCTAGATAAGAAAATTCTGGCTCTTCTCTTTACAATGCGTAACTTTATACTGAGCAACATTTAGTCATAAAATTGAGTTATGCCAGAAACTTCTGCCCCAACAGTTATTGATTCTAAAGTATGTAGTCTGACAACTTGATTTGTCATACTCTTTTATAGTGAAGAGTGTTTAGGTTTCTGCTGAACAATACCAGAGCTATAATCAATATTGTTCTCAGCTAAATGTCTGTAACCTTTGTCTGTGCTGTGGAAATCCAATTTAAGCATGATCTACCCACACACCAAAGTGATTTTATTGTGTCTGTGTACGGTAAAGAATTTTGGCATTTAAAAATATTGGGATTTAAGGAGAATTGTTAGCACATGTTTAATCATCTGTGTGTAATATTTTCTATGTGTGCTTTTCCAAAGTGATGGTTTCTTTATTGAGTCTGAATAATATAATATGCACTTTCAGAGTGTGTTTCAAACAAGAGACCAGAAAACTTCAAATGTTTCACTTGTTATAAAACTGATGAAAAGCCATGCTACATTCATTACATAGAAGAAACACTCTCATTCCGTTTTCAGTAAAGGGGACAAACAGACATACTTAAAAATAGTGCTGTAACTTGTTTTCCTGGATAATTTGTGAGCAGAATGAAATAAACATTTGATGAATTAGAAACTAGAGAAGTAGTACATGAACTAACTGGATTGATACAAAGGAAATTAAATATGACTAAATGCTTTAATGGCATTTGACTAAAATTTTCCTGTTTTATTGATGCTGACACATTTTCTTTGATACAGTCCTATGAATTCAGTTTTTGTCTCTGTTTTCCTGTGATGATGGAGATGTCAAGGCACAGCTACATAAGTTACTAGCTTGCTAAAGGTAAGCTTATGGTAAAATTGAGCCTAACTTTTATTTTTCCTGTTTCTGCTGTTGTTGAAGTTTGGAGCAATGCTCTCATTATCTTCAATGGAAGCAGATCTGATCACCAGACATAATCTTATTAACTTTGTTCTTTATATAAAATAATGAATAATTTGGGTGCCTTCATTCCATGGCAAATTTTCTCAGAAACACAATATGATTTGCTTCTATCAGACAGAAAATACTTTATGCACACCAGTATAAATCATGAGGTTCTTTTTTTTTGTCTTGTAGCTGGCAGTTCAGTTCCTGTAGAAGTGCTGTAGAAATTCAGCTTTCTGCAGAATTGTCACATATTTTATTGTTAATACAGTTGTATTGTTAATACAGTCTTGTTGTTAATACGGTCCCAAATATTTTTGATATCAGATTGATTAATGCAGTGCTCCTACATTCATCTTGCAGTACCAAACCAATGCTGAACAGTCAATGGTGTTCAGATACTTCCAGTGGTGCTGCTGTTTGGAGCAGAGCTGTGAAATTCAGTCTGTGGAATGCGGTACTTTAGAACCAGCCCCTCTAATGCAGTCATCTTTGTTATTGAAATATTCAAGATACCCCTTTCTGAACAAATCTAGCACTTTCTAATTGGTTTTACACAAGGAATGAATATTTGACCTGCTTGATTTACCTGGGGAAATGAATGATGCTCACACAACTGATTGAGTGAGCCTAACCTCCCGTTCTGTCCCTCTTTCTTTATGTTTTTTAACATGCATAGGCTTTTCTAAATTAAGTTCTGACATTTAAGTGGCCAAAAAAAGAAGTTTTAAGGTAAAAATTGAAAAGCCAAGGTATTTATCAAGTTAAGAGCAAGTAAAATGGGAAAGAACTGGACTCTAATGAATTATTTTCATTCAAAATAACCTGTGTTCTTGTTCACGATTTACCATTTGCATATGCATATCTGTGTTTCAATAGAGTTATTATTCTGCACATTATGTGCAGTGCTCTGCATTGTAATGAAAAATCAATGTTCTTAATTTGCAGAAAGAAGGTTTATAATAACATTTTTCCTGTGATAGTGTTTTAGTAAGGAGATCATTATCCCTATTATAGTGGGAGGAAAGTATGAGATCCTAGCAACTAGGCTTGAAAAGTTGTATAAGAATGTGTCCTAAAGGTTTATTTCTATCATCATAGAATCACAGAATCAACTAGGTTAGAAAAGACCTCTGAGATCATCAAGTTTGAGCCAATACTCAACCACCTTGTCAATTAGACCATGGCACTGAGTGCACATCCAGTCTTTTCTTAAACACCTCCAGGGACGATGACTCCAACACCTTCCTGGACTGCCCATCCCAATGCCCAATCACTCTTCCTGCAAAGAACTTCTTCCTAATGTCTAACTTAATCATGGAACATTGACAGCCAAGTTAGTCTGGCTGCAGCAGAAATGTGTCTTGGAAGTTTTCATGTCAAATTGAGAAGCTTACCACACGTCATTGAACAACAGAAGAAAATTGACCAAGATATTTTTAACACCTGAGAAAGTACATTAAAAACAGTACTATATCTTTGCTTGCAGAATCTGCTTCCAGATGATTAAATTTCCATTGTTTGTTCAGCAGTTTCAGACTGGAATGACTAACAGGCAAACCCAATTATGGGGCAGAGGTACATGCATGGTGACTTCAGAAACCTGTATTTGAACCTTGCAAAGCACTTCACTTTCTATGTAATTCTAGACAATTGACATGCCTTTGGTCTTGTGTAGCCACCTGTCTCTGGGAGGCAATGAGAGGTGAAGGCCGGGGTGGACCTGCCTGGCCCGGTTGTTGTAGGGCTGGGTAGGGGACGGGGCAGCAGGGACAGGCTGTGCTGCCTCACAGCATAGTAGGAGGAGGTCCTGGAGGAAGGCAACACGGGGCAGACACATGCAGGTAGCCTGGGAATCAGCTGTACTTGGTGCAAACAGTCTCCCCTCCCTTCTGTTTTGGACGTTCCAAAACTTCAATATTGAAAAAGTATGGTATGTGGTCATTTGATCTGCTTGTGGGCTTAAATTCAAATCAGCTAGTGTGGATAATTAATGTGTGTGTTCCCTGTTTGTTTTAATTCAGAAATCTTTCATGTGGAAAATACACCAGGTGTTCTGGTTCAGTGCTTTCGTCTCTGCTTTCAGGAGTAGAGCAGAAGAGCATTACTACACAGTTACTGAAGTTTGGAGATAAAGTTCTCCCCTGAAACCTCAGTCTTCTGCAGTGCACAGGTTAAAAATTAATTAAGGAGTGGAGGGCTATTTCAGATTCACCTCTCTCTCCTTAACATTTAAATTCTCTACAGCTGCCACTGTGCAACCCCTACAGATTGCAAAAGAACAATTAGGTGTTAAAAAACAAGGAACGCTATTCAAACCTCTGTTCCTGGAGATTTCACTCACTCTACACATTTCTCTTGCACCAAAATGAATAGCAGTGGTTTTGGTTATCTTTTTTTATTTTTCTTTTTAAAACATTGTTGAAAACCCCCAATGAAATCTGTGTGCGTCAAATGTTCTTCACTCTCCTTAGTGCTAAATATCTTCTACACTTAACTGCATTGCACACTATCATAGAACTAAGACTAGTATAAGATAGTTGAGGTGTTTCAAGGAAATATCTGACTCTTAAGTGTCATGGGGGAAAAATGATGTCATACAAACATCACGTTTATTTATCCTCTTTATACTCAGTAATAATTTAATAGGAAGTCTAGGGATAGATAAAGAATTTTTTCAAACAGATGTTTTTATTTGAATTTCATATTTTGCCAGGAAAAAGCAATGAGGTTTAGCTAGTAATTTCAGGATAGAGTATCACTCTTAACTTTTCAACTGTGACATTCAAGAGGATGTCCTAAAGGGAAAAGAAACTGCTTTCAAAAATGCAACAGTGCATACATTTTCTAGTAGATCTTGGATGTCTTATCTCACTTATGTCTTTAAACATCTCCACACACCCATATAACACTTCATTTTAAAGACTGGTTCTGTTAATGAATTCAAGGAAAGACATAGATAGTTAATTTGTTAAAATGAATCTTAGACTTAAAAAATGCAGATGTCAATGAAGTGATGCTATTTTACTGCAGATGAAAAAGCAGCCCATGAGGTGTTGCCTGATACCCAAAACTGCTTTTCAGGTTCAAAGAGCAAGTCCATTAAAAACGATTATCTCTTGGTAAACAGAACCTTCCCTAAAAACTCAGACCTCCTTAGCTCTGTCAAAGTGTGGTCAATGTAAACAGATCATTACTGAAATGATACATTTGCTTGTTAAAACAAGTTTGAAGGTCAGATTTCATACAAAAATGTTGAAATGCCACTTTTTCTTCTTGAAGCTGTTTTAATCAGCTAGAAAACTTCTCCATATATTAGCTTTTAGCACAACCCGTTGGTAGAAATTGGCTTTCTCTTAAGCAGTCTTGATCTTATAATAAGAATTTTTTGAGATACGGTGAACTGATGAATCAACTCAAGGAAAAGAAGGAAGTTGACCAAAGCCAATATATCTTACAGAACGATGAAGATCACTCAAAAAAAAAAAAAAAAGTAAGATACAGTTAATCTTTCTTTTTTATGTTCCTTTTATGGAAGATTGCAGATTTTTCTTCTTTTTTTTCTTCTTTTTTTCTCCTCCTCCCACTCCCCTCCATGTGGGACATTTTCAATAACAAATTATTCTGAACCAAAGCGCTGGTTTGAAAGCTGATTAGTGTTGTTCACTGATAAGGTTTGATTACTCATTATACACAGTAAAAACAGGCTCAATGGACACAGAAACGAGCATACCCTTGTTTCCCCTGTCCCTCTCCTTGCAGAAATGTGATATTTTTTAATTGCTAGAATTTTGTTCCATCTTTAAATACTTGTGATGCTGTCTGAAAGATAGCTGAAATGTATGAAAGGGTGAGACCAGCAGATGACAGAAAAATGATGCTCTAAAGCTGAGAAACTTCCAGTTTATTTAATGAGCAATATTTCAACATTCCCAGAAATTCAGAGGAAAATTGGAAAAAAAAAATTTATCCTGTGAAAGACAAAGGGAAAACTCACTGAAGTTTGTGTTTCTCTTGGTGCTGGTAAACTACTGTAGTCCTTGCAAAGAAGACAGTCAGGGTAATCATGCTTGGATTATTTTAATTGCTTATCAATTCTTAGTCAAACATAATCATTGTAAATCTGGTTGGGTTTTTTCCCCCTGGGGTATTTTCTTCAGAAAAAAATTTGATTCAGCAAAATTAATTGAGTTTATGATAATCTACCTAATCTGTCAAATAGATTAATTTTTCCTGGATAATATCAAATTGCTTCATTTTTAACTGTGTGTAGTACAATATAGTGAATACATCTATTCATTGCCAGAGTGATAGATTGAAAGATATTTCAACTGACTGAATCAAAATATTATAGCTTGTTTTGTTTTTTGGAAAATCCTGGAAATTTGACTTCTTGTCTTGATTCAGAAGTAAATGGAAACTTTCAGAATTTATCACAAATCAGTGATTTTTCTTGTTAAATATAGTCATTGTATTGCCTTTACCCCTCAGGAAAAGGATCTGGGTGCCAGGTGTGCAATAGCAGCAGCTGGAAGAAGAATATAGGGGAATGTGGGGAGGAGAAGACTTCTCTGAGTGGATAGTACCCTGCCTGCCTGTTTGGGCATAAAAACAGGGTGGCAGTGGCTGTATAATGCTGCCCAAAAAGCAGAGCTTACTGCACCGGTATCCCAGCTCTGTCAACCCAATAAACATGTAGG